ACTCTATTTCTTCTCCCAAAATGGGAGACAAACAAGCACTATATAACGTACCAAATATGTAGTAAATGTGCCCTTAGTTTTTTCAATCCAAACCGAAATACAAAAAGTCTCAAACATCAACCACTAGGTAAGGTCGTCGGATAGTGATTCCTAACTTGAATAGGAAGGTGACAATTATTCCAGAATAGAATGTCAATATTAATCGAGCAACGTGGTCCAGAAGAAGCCTTTGCTGATCCATAGAATTTTTACTTTGATTATAAGAAGTGGTTCCATGCTTGCTTGCAATGTATTAAGTACATGATTCTATTGATCCTTGGACAATATTCCATTTTTTTCCCCTTTCTCAACGTTATTCAATACCGAACAATCTACTAACCAAACGAGTCGCTAATCAATGTACAACAATGACACCACAATTAGCTCTTCACGCAAAAAATTGGGAGGGTTAAAAGGGAATTTAGGCATTTCTGAACTGCAAAACGGGCTAACGTCATGTCCTAAAATAAAATTGCGTCAGAACGGGACATCAGGACCATTATAATTAGATTAATTACAAGATAGAGTATTTAATTTTTTATGATATGACATTTTTTTTTACTTTTATACAAAATGACCCATGATTGGACAACCGGTCGATTGCTGATGCCGTTTCATGTCTTATTACTATTGTTACTAAACTTTTTGGTCTTTTACGTCTCTATAATATCCCAAAAAGTTGAATGCTATATAGTCAGGCGGTGACGTAAATCCTAGTTAATTCGATGAATTGGAGTAATCTTCTTCTTCTTTTTCTTTTTGTCCCCAAGAAAAGGTTAAACATCTACACTAGTATTATTTATTAGATGAATAAATTTCCCGTAATTTTTTACTAAGAGAAATCTATCAACGATAAGTAATTCTCAATAGTTAGGGCCTATCTGCCAGATATTTTCTTCCCCAAAAAATCAATTTTTGTGCCGTTATTTTCAACCATTAGGGCCCCACTAAGACACAATAGAATCAAACATTTCGGCTGCACAATGAAAGCAACGGTCCAAATTATAATTAATCGTGCGCCCACACAGCCTTTTACTATCTTTTATATGCAAAAAGAGTGAATTGAGATTAATTAGACTTACGTAACATTGAATTCGATCTATTTGTCTAGTTTAAAGGTGCTTACCATGTAAATAGTCACAAACTATTGTCATGGAAAAAGTTAACGTCTAAGTCTATATCGCGCTTGTTTGAGAATGGATTATAATCGATTTAAATTATAAATAGGTAGAAATGTGTAATAAAAAGTATGTAGTAATTATGGGGTCAAACGAAATATGTTGATAAAAAGTATGTTTGACTATTATGTTTAAAAAAGATTTTGCTACTTGTACATCAAAATTGTACATAAGGTGTTCCATAATATGATATGTAGGAAAAAAATTAGATGAAAAAGTTGACTTAATTTTAAATTGAAAAATTGTAGAATGTAATGTGACATTATGTAACAATTCATGTACATGCAGCAAGATTCTTTTAGAAATTAAATAAGTAGCAAACAAGGTTCGGTGAATGGATATTATTTTGAGTGTCCAGACAAAAAGTTCAGGTAAATTAAGATGAACCGAGCTGTAGTGCCAGGGAGGGTGTGACACCCCCCTGACATAACACACACATTGGGGAGAGGGAATCATTTTTTTTCATTTTTTTATTTCATGCGGATCCCACGTCGATCCCACACTCATGTGAGGTTAGGTCAACCAGGTGGGCAAATCAATTCGAGCAAACTAGCTTAATTCAATTAGGATTGGGCTCCTAACCTGTTGATGTGGTGTGACTATATCTTCAACCTTTAAATAGAGAATTTTTAGATCCCAAAAATTATTAAATTTGTGGGTTTGGATCCCCAAGTAACTAAAATAATTAATATAGTGATAAAATTTCACACAACTTTCACATGATTTATAGTTAGAAAACAAAATTGTTCAACCGCTTAACATTATATCTAGTTTAATTAAAAGTCACATGCAATTTTTAAAGTTTAAATTGATGGTTTTCATCACATTCATATTCAAATAAGTTGAAAATCCAAAATATCAATTTTTTAGGATAAATAGCAGAATATAAATGTTTTCATTTGCGATATACACAATACCTATTGAAAATTGCAGAAAACTCTCATATTTGAAATATTTTGTGCGAAAAATCCCCTACCGTCAAGATTCGTCAGGTTTGTCATTAAAAACAATAATAAATGTCAAAATAAAGAAGGAATAATTGCAATTTCAATACTCAAACTTTTTAATTTTTTTACAAATTAAATTCAAATTTTTTATACGTGCCACCAGCCATCCCAAATCTTTAAAACTTTACACTCTAGGTCCATCGCTGTATCTAGTTTTCAACTCGTTCCAGACTTCATATGCAGACGGGATGTACAACATGCTTTGGCAAATTTCTTTACTAATTGAATTCAATAACCATGAAAGTACCATATTATTTGCTCGAAGCTAGTAGCTGTATGTATTACCTGATGGTAAACTTGGGGGCTTCAAGGTTCCATCAATAAATCCAGCTTTATTCTTTACACTCAATGCCATGGATATTGCACGACTCCATGATGTGTAATTATCTCCATTAAAAATCTCTGAAATGATTAAAGCTCTAGGATTATCGTTCGGATGCAAATAATATTGACTGGTTGGATCATCAGCTGAGAGAATGATACATTCTAAATTTTCCATTTTCCAAATGATAGATGATAAATGTCAGCTAAATATGCTCTGATACCATGTCAAATTCATCAATTAAAGATAAAAAATGAAGCTGCAATTGCAGAAACTGATGAACTGAAGAAGAAGAGAACGATAAATTTGGGGATTTCCATTAATCAGAAGCTTGAAATAAAAGTGAATTAAATCTGGAAATTTATAGACAATTCAGCTAACTAACTAACTGTCTAACAACTTGAAGCTAAGTGAATTGACTATCCAACTAATTAACAATATCAACCGAAGTAGTTTTGCCTCCAACTGGGTTGTTCTTCTCCGGTTTGCCTACTGATTTCGCCTTTAGTATCATTTGCTGGTGGTTTTCTGTGTCGTAACGCTCGACGCTCATAACCCTATTAACATACTGCGAAATCAGATCGTCAAATGCGATAATAGGCGGATCCATAGCCATTGCATCTTCGTCGACCTTTGTCGCACCAGCTTAACGGAGGCATTTTTAGCACTTTTTCTTTGGGGTATCTTCTTCTCCTTTTTAAC